TTCTGGTGGAACCGAGCTTCGAATCTCTTCACCCAACACTTTCACTCGAAATGGAAGTAAGCTCAACAATGCTGAACTCCTTGTTGTTGTGAAAAGAAGGACGTGGATTGTCTATAAAATAGAAGATGCTTACCCTCTACCACTCCAAAGCTGGAGGCCCCGAAACGAAGAGAGAAAAGTAAAAATAGTGTTACCAATTTGTCCTATTTTGAAACTGCTGAATACAGTTGGGGGGGTATGATAATAGAAAGAGAATCATTTAAAGATGGTGTGAAATAATACATTCTAAACTCCGCTGGCCACTGCAGAGGGAAGAAAGAGAAGGAAGAAAACGTGACCAATTTAGATAAAAATAAAAACTAAGTTTCGATGAATCTCCTGAGATAACACTGTTGGGAGGACTGTCATTTCGTATGAAAGTGCGTGAAGAAGATATTCGTAGGTCGATCTCACCAGACGACGACGGCTGAATCGCGTTGTACTGCAGTCGTTTGGCTTTGATACGACGTTCAGGTTGACGCAGTCCACGAGATCTCCTCCCTCGTTTCGGGTGAAAACAGGCTGAGCATTCGTCCTTCAAATGATGGGCATCATCAGAGCTGGGTCTCATTCCTGTAAACGTCTCACGTTAGCACTCGATCAAGAATACTATCCGGCTGTATCTTACGTCTTATATAGATTCAATTTAGCAAAAGAAAGTTAAAAACCTAGAAGAATAGATATAGCATGGTTTGGATAATTATCTTTCATACAGGCCCTGCTACCTTTACTCGGGTGTGTGCGTGCATTAACGTATATACGCAATACCGGCCCTAAATCAAAATGATAAAAAGTGTAATGTTCACAAGGAGAGCGTCCCTCAAAGATTAATTGTAAAAAACAAAGGAAGAGTGATGCATAAAATCTCACGTTTTTTAGGCATACAACTAAGGAAAACTGCCCATTTTTGGCTGTATTCAGTTATAAATTCTTATGACTTTGTGAAATTGATTGATCAGCAGACGCTTTCGAAGGGGATTAGGCTAGTCAGCTTTGATGTTGTACCTACGCATACAAACATTCCTGTTCAAGGAGCTATTCAAGCTCTGATACAAATTCTCGAGGAGCATCCAGAGATAGCATAAGGAATAAGGCTGAGTGTAGCCTCCATTAAAAGACTTATCAACCTATTAAGATATGAAGACCATGATGTTGTGGCCTCTGGTATAGTCGCAGTCTCCTTTCGATTTATAGAAGTGGGTTGACCTCGTTGTAGCAACTTGGTCTTGTTGTCAGAGCGACTTAGTAGAACGCACCTAGTCCGAAGTTGTCCGCGATAGTAGTTGTCATGATTCCCAGCATCAGACAGTGGACTTGGTACATTCTCAAACTTTTCGTTGGCATCGTGGTCGGCATCATCAGTGAGCTTTGCCATTCTCCACACCAAGCAACGAACTCGTCAAAGAGACAAGTGAAGTCAATCCCTCGACAACCGTTTTGCTGAAAACGGTTACACTATCACTCCTCTTTCTGTCCTTGCCTATCTATCTACTCTTTACCCTCTTCTCCCACTTGGTACATTGTCGAGGGATTGACTTAACTTGTCTCTTTGACGAGTTTGTAGCTTGGTGCGGAGAATGGCAAAACTCACTGATGGTGCCGACTACGAGGACGGCGAAACGTTTGAAAATGTACCAAGTCCACCGTCTGATGCTGGGAATCATGACAACTACTATGGCAGACGACTTCGGACGAGTTGCGTTCTACTAAGTCGTCCTGACAACAAGACCAAGTTCCGACAACGAGGTCAACCAACTTTTATAAATCGAAAGGAGACAGCAAACATAACAGAGGCCACAACATCTTGGTCTTCATATCTTCAAAAAAATATTGTTGCCTATTTGGGTTCATCTGAACGAAACTATCGTCTTGACTCAGGATTTCAACGATTATACGCTGTACGCTTATTATTACTATTACTAAAAAATTGTTTCTTTTTATTATTATAATTATTAATTAATTAATATTATTATTCGCCTCCTACTAATACTGATAGGGGTAGTTGTCGCCAGCAACTGTATTTATCTCGTATGGACCGAGTCGCCCTGATGAGATGACAGATTCGGCTGGAATATCTCACATCGGAAATCACTGTCATACTCTAAACCGGAAGTCGTGGGTAAAAGTGAGTCTGTCTCATAGCCGTGTTCGTGACAGTGCTTTGCGACCATTTTGTGGCTAACAATAATGCTGATGATTCAGCCCTCTCATCTTCCGCATACATCGCAGGAGTTTAAGCAAGAAAAGGGCAGGCCCGGAATCGAGACGCACCGTTTGTGCATCCTCAACACTAACTCGAATGCATTTTATGTGTCCGAGGAGAGAGACTCGAGCTTAAAAATCGCATAAAACCTCCGCTTAACTTAACCCGAACTTTCGCAGCTTTGGCCTCCTCTGTCAGGCAAATACAGGGCTGAGACTTTATTTGCTTCCGAATTTGGCAGGAATCGCTTTTACACTCTTGGCAACGAGGGTTTTCGTTTGTCGAGAGATTCATTGACTTGACTCCCTTCGACTTGAGGCGAGGCCGGATAGCCAACCAATTGTCTGATCACCAGATGACAACTAAATCGCATTGCCTCGATGAAGTGTAAGCGAAACGATTCCCTATGAAGTTTGGTCCATTGGTCTAGAATCATTGGACTGCATCTAAAGCCGGTCGAGGCCAGTTGTCGAGGCTGCGATTGAACCGGAGAACTCGACTGTTATCCTCTGGCCGAGAGTGAACCCTTTTGGATTAAACAACTTTACATTTTCCTTTCTCTTCTGCAGAGCCTGCGGGACGGCAGCATGCCCGACATAAGTCTTGTACGACGACTGCCCGATCGGGTGGGCCTGTCGCGAAGGGAGCTGCAGCAACTGAGCGAAGCCTCGCATCTCCGCAGGACTGAAGAGGCAGCCAGGCGGCAGCAGGGCGAAATCATCATACATTTCTCGGACCTCCTGGTCAGTCATCTCTCCCTTTTGCATCCACCATTTGCACCAATCTCACGACCCTCGCATCAAATGGCACATCTGCAGGCATCTGCCATCATCTCTCTTCCAACTTTCACTGGTCTTAATGACATAAAGGCTATCTCTCTCAACCAGTTGCAGTTGTCACTTATTTAAACAACGTAATACTTAACGGAATTGTTGTATACTACTTAGACACAGTAGTTAACGAGTATCACATTTAAGCTTACCTTGACAGGGTTAACTCGATCCTTAAGAAGGGCTAATGGTGTGGATGTGATTAGATCATAAACCTTTTCTTCATATCATATACCTTAAACACAATCTACTCTGTTGGTTTTATCTCATAAAATTAAGTCAACTGGTGACTAGAATTAATATTAAATACATGTTACATTGTCAATGATAAATTAGAATTTAGAAAATAAAAGATATGAAGACCAAGATGATATGGCCCCCGTTATTGTCGAAGTGTCGTTCCGATTTATAGAAGTGGGTAAACCTCGATGTTGCAACTTGGTCTTGTTGTCAAGGCGACTTAGTAGAAGTCCTAGTCCGAAGTCCTTTGCCATAGTAGTTATCATAATTCTAGCATCAGAGAGTGGACTTGGTACATTCTCAAGTAGTCGGCATCATCAGTGAGTGCTGCCATTCTCCGCACCGAGCTACGAACTCGTCAAAGAGACAAGTGAAGTCAATCCATCGACAAACGTTTTGCGAAAACGGTTACACTCTCACTCTTCATTCTGTCCTGGCCTATCCCTCTTATCCCATTGCCGCCCTATCACAACTTCTCACTTGTTTACATTCCACTCGTCAATATGTGTGCCCTTTGTGAGCTTGACACGTTAACCACTCGGAAACATTTCCACGAATGATTTTGGGTCACAGGGCAGATGTCAATTTCTACT